CTTCGTCTAAAATTAGTCTTCCTTGGGGTATTTCCCTGGGTACGTAGATCTGTTTAACAAGGGCAGTAAACACTACACTACAGTGACGCCACAGTTCGTTTCTATTCAATTGGGTTTTAATCACAGCGCCCAGTACAAATTACACACGTACCTGCATCAGTGTAAAACATATACTTTCACATTTTGCAGCTGTTGTTATCCCCTTTATGGACTTCTAGTATTGTATCTTCACTATCTTTCTACACCACTACTTTCTGCTTTTCGTTACTGCATCACCTTCCCCCAAATTTGTCTCTTTCTTTCTCTTCTTCTCATGTTTACTTTCCCATCTTCACCGAGTCTTCCTATTCTCATTCTCTAGTGTGAGAAGCTAATTTCAGTTTTTTTTTTTATCATAATTCTACTATCACAAAGAGTTTTGTTCTATGCATGAAGTCCCTAGATATAAGGATCAGCTGATGGGACGCATTGCTCTGGCTTACTCAATGCTGCGCACTTTATAAGCTCCTTTGATTAAAATACAGATATCAAGCATTCTGTTTTCCACCATTTTCCTTCTCACCGTTTATCCACTTTACCGTGTCTTTCTTCTTCCGCCTTCCATTCACATTCACTTAACACTGCCGTTCACGTATGAAGATTGCGGGACTAGAAAACATGCGGGGGGGGGGGGGGGGGGATTATCACCACTTGCCCGAGGAATGCGCTACAAATCTTACCTACTTAGGCCTAAGGCAGAAACGAGACATCGGAGAAACGAGACAAGAGGTGACAGAGGTTGAGACTGAATGGAATGGAGTGACTGACGGAACAATCGATAAAACAGCTGACTTGTAAACGTGGACTTTGCTTACAATACGGTTCGTGGCACTTATGGTCCAAACGTTCTCTCTCTCTCTGACTCTCCCTCCTCTCTCTCTCTCTCTCTCTGACTCTCCCTCTCTCTCTCTCTCTCTCTTTCTGACTCTCTCCTCCTCCCTCTCTCTCTCTTTATTATCCTTCTTCCTTCCCCTCTCCGAATATTCGTCTCTCTTTCTCTCTTGTTTTCCTTCTCCCCTCGCCCTCTTCGCATATTCACATCTCTCTCTTCATTTCCTTCCCCTTTCTGTTTACTTCTTTACATCTATTCCCTTCTAAACTCCAATTGTGATATTTTTCTTTAAATTCAACACAAGTTATCCCAGACTACTAAAAATTCCCTTACGATTTTAATCCTATATATCCTAATGATTATTACTGAGCTTAACGAAAGTTTGCAATAGCTACGCCACAGTACATAAATATTATATAAACAGACAATAATGAATGGAAAACTATGAATGAGTACGTGCATGTATGAATAGGTATGAGTGTGTGAGTTAGTGAGTGCAACTGAATTCATATTTACTCTTAATTGAGTGTTTTGAGGTATTGCAGATGTTCAGATATACAAACAACAGACATCGTAGTCTATAGTACATTAAGATTTCTTTTACTATCCAATTGGTAAGGAAGGCCTTGTGGCGCAACGGATAACGCGTCTGACTACGGATCAGAAGATTCCAGGTTCGAATCCTGGCAAGGTCGCGAGTCTTTTGTTTACAGTCCGAGTCCTCATAAGAATCCATGCCCATAGAGGCCTCTCCCCTCTATTCCCTCTCTCCTTCTCCCTCCTCTATCCCCCCCCCCCCCCTCTCTCTCTCTCCATCTCTCTCTCTCTTCTCTTCTCTCTCCTCTCTCTCTCTCTCTCTCTCTCTCTCTCTCCTCTCTTCCTCTCCCTCTCTCTCTCTCTCTCTCCCTCTCTCTCCCTCTCTCTCCCTCTCCCTCCTCTCTCTCTCTCTCTCTCTCTCTCTCTCTCTCTCTCTTGTTAACTTGGAGTCCGTCCGTCCAGACAGATAGACTAGCAGGGCGCCTACCAATTTGTTGGCGGAAGAAAATGGCCGAGTGACCGCGCTTTTATACAATTTTGTCCTTGGAATTCGTAAGGGTCAAACTCCATCTTTCTGTCTCCCTTTCTCCCTCCCTCTCTCTCTCACTCCCCTGTGTGCTATTTTCAAATCACTCGCCCCATTTTGCGCCCACCAATTTAAACAAAAGCGCGCCGTTTAGCGCATGAATACTTTGCGGACTCAAGACTGTATATAAAAGAGAAGCGACCTTGCCAGGATTCGAACCTGGAATCTTCTGATCCGTAGTCAGACGCGTTATCCGTTGCGCCACAAGGCCTTATATAAGGAGTGGGTATCCGGATATTATTAAACTTATAGATCACCATCCATTGTTTGTAATCTTGCATTCCCTTAAAATATCCTAACACATAGATCGCGAATAATTTGAAGTGTAAAAGCTAATCGTAGGCTAGCCGATAGCACGCCGATTTTCCTTTCTTTCCCCCTTAAGGAACACCCTTAATTCGCATAAGCAAGCCCCATAATCCTTAAGATAGCCTGAGCAATACATATGCTCATATGTATCATACATTTACACA